AAAAAAAAAAAAAAAAAAAAAAAAAAAAAAAAAAATGAGACTTCAATTATAAAGTGAAATATTGACAAGAAGAAAATTTTTTTGCCAGTTATGAAGTGTAAAAATTTTTCAGTGTATTAGTAAAGATTAAAAAAATACTGAGCATAGAAATAAAAAAAAAACTTTAGAATAAAAAAAAACTAAACATTTGTTTTTTTTTTTTTGCTTATCACTGACCAGCAAAAAAGCTGATGGTAAAGAAATGGTCAAATTAATTGTTGAAGAAGAAAATGGGGACTCTGAATTGATAGGTGCCAACAAATATTTCCTTTACAGTTCTGCAATTTGAAAGCTCTAAAAAAAAAAAATTTTTCATTTCCAACATATTTGCTTTATTTTTTTGTCTTTCTTTATCACCTAATTATTGATAAAAAGAAAAAAGATTCAAGCATAGTTTATAAATTCAAAAAAAGTCAACAAATTTTTTTTTTGCCATTTTTCTATTTTTACATTGTATAAAAATGAAAACATACCAATGGTTTATTACGGCAGTTGTGATGTATCAGTTGAAAAATTCAATTTTGTCACCTTATGAAATTCAGCTATTATCAAAGAAAAAAAAAAGAAGTTCAGTTATTTAAATTAGGTGTGCAAAAAAAAAGGAGAAGTCAAATAGAAAAGTAAACGATTTTTTTTTTTTTGTTTTTGCTAAAAAATGTTTCAAAATTTTGATGAATAAAATAAATTTAGCGTTTTTCAAGAAGAACATTATCAGTTTTTCACAGAAAAACGACGACGACGACAACTATGCAGTTTTGGTTTTGCTATACACTGTTGAATTGGTATTGCTGAATTTGGCTATCTTTACTAAATCAAAGCTCCATATTATACACTGTAATTTAATGATTAACAGTTGTCTATCACAGTTCTTAAAATTATTATATATTATTGCTGTAGTTGTATAACCATTAATAACTTAAAAAATTTTGTATAATCACATCGAAACCAATTTATACATTTATATTGCTTTTTTTTTAATCAACAACAGCATTGGGTGTTTGTGGTTTTTTTAAATTTATAATGCTATTTAATACAGCAATAAAAACAATGTTTTTTTTGAAGAAAGATTTTTCTTTTTGTTTTGGAGGTTTTGGTAAATTTCTTTTTTTTTTTCTTTTTTTATATTATCGCCACAATTGAACTTTTTGAGGTATCAAAAGAAGCTGAATGACGATAAAATTTAAGAGCCGCTGCTGCTGCTGCAGAACTCACTTTTGGTTGTTGCAAATTGGAAGAACTAAGTTTTTGCAAAACCATTTTAAAATGCGTTCAAATAGTATTAC